CCATGGCTATAATTTTTTATATATGTCTTTTTCTCGATTCTTGATTGCTCCACATATGGTTAAAGTATTGGTTAACCTACATCTAACCAATCAGTCAAGTAAAAGAAAAAAAAAAATTTTTTCACTTTAAAAAATTTTTTTTCTCCAAGTAAGAGGGGAATGTAACGAGTCCGTTACTTAAATACCCATTTACTGCTTTGTCACTGGAATCCTTTAATTTAATTATAAATTAAATTCATCTTTGAAATATTCTTAAACCAAAAATTTAAATAACTCCAGTAAATTTTATTTTCTAAAGTTGGCATTAAATCCCGCCCTCTGTGTAAGATTCGGAAAGTACATCATCTTGGCAGCGAAGTACCGTCAGATCGTTACTTGCTTGCTGGATCCTACCGAATAAACACCGATCAAAGTAGAGCGGCTGGGGTGCCATGTTTCCGAATTTGGTTTAAGTTTATTTTTTATTTTGTGGAGAAGATGTTATTTTAGAAGGAAACCATTTGTTACGTTGTTGTTTTTTTTGGGAAAATACTTTAAGTTTGGACCACAGCCGCCTACTTCCGGGATCCAGTGACAAGTCAGGGCAGAAAAACCTTTTCAGTTTGTTTATTGGGGAATATTTATTGGAACAAGGGGGAAGAAAAAGTTTTTTAAGTTGGGTTAAGAAGAATTTCAAGGACTTAAGTTAAAAGTACCTCTTTTTTTTATATGGTGTCCAGGTTTGGCGTATCACCCACCTGCGACTAGTTCTCCACCGGATCATCTCCAGGGAAACCTACAGAAACCGGCAGGAAGAACTGATTTTTAATTTTTTTTATTTCCTATTCGAATATTTTTAATAACGTTCTACATCCTCTTCAAGGTTTAACTTTTGTTTCATTTTAATTTCAATATATATCATTAATAATAACTACCTTCACTTTTTCATAAAATATTAATCATTGTAACGTAATTTAATTATTTATTGTCCACCAAGGGTTGAGATTGTAACTCCCCTGGACTCTCTCGTTATCAGGTTATAGTGTGCACACATATCTGGAGAGGTTTATTTCATTTATTTGATAATTGTAACGTTTATATTATTATATATTTCTTTTTATATTATATACTTAACCATTGCATAACCTTAGTCAAAATTTAACATTAATAGGTACGTTAGGGGGGAAATTGTTTTCATCATTATATATAGGGTTTTCATTGTAAATATAGATTAGTTAATTGTATATAAGAGGTGTTGGGTAATATTGTTATATATAGGGGTTTAAAATAATTTGTACATAATATAGGTCTTTATTAAAGTTGGGTTAAAACAATTTTAAGATTTCACTTGGTACCTATCCTTTAATATTTCAGCAATACAAGATATCTTGGAAGAAAACCTTCAACTTCCTGGCGCCCAAACATTCATTAGAGCAACTTTATCTTTCTTCTGTTTATTTCTTGGTAGTTTCTAGTCATTAATTCTTACATCTTACGGTCTCTGTAGGGCATGCAAATTGGCCGAATCCCTCCTTGATTGTCAAGAGGTCATTCTCCTGCATAGCCGCTAGCCAGCATTAAATTTATTATATTTTAAAATTCATATTTACCCTTTATTTATTTCTTTCACATAATTTATTTCTATCTAATCCCTTTCATCTTCTATTATTCCACATATTAGTTCGTTGGTGTATCAAGGTACATTTTAGAGTTTACCCTATTGCTACACTACACATTCTTGTTATATTGGCGCTCCAGCCAAACCATTTTTGTTACATATTCTACCATAATCACCTACAGGACAAAGAAGAGTGCAAAATGCTTTTCATTTCCCAACAGAAACTCGCTAAAGAAGATGACAGTTTTGTTTGTGCTAGTTTCGACCTGCAGAACGTATTCAATACTCCTCATGGTAATAACATGCTCTTATACTATTCACGAAAATATTCATTTTTCAACAAAACTATTTATGAAAACGGAACCAGAAATGTATTCTGGTATATATTGGGCGAAGCATACGGTAACCTTGGTACCAATAAGATATCCACTATAATTTATAACCACTTAGAAGAAGTAGACAACAGAGAGAATGTAAAAACGCTATATCTTTTCTGTGAAAAACTCTTGTCTTTCCGTAGAGTGAAAATTGTTTTTCTTCTTCCTGGACACACATACATGCCTGTAGATACAGTCCCCGCCACAATCAAGGTTTGTTCGTAATCGCACTGTTTGGGACACCTTCTGAATTGCCTACAGTAATACGAAATGCTAGAGTTAATCCTAAAGCTTTCGAAATTCGAAATATGAAGCATTCTGATTTTAAATCTTGGAAACCTGTTGCAAACACTTTATTTCCCAAGACAGTACAGAAGACCACTGACAGATACAAGTTTCAAATAAGCGGACTATTATATAGCGGACACACATACATGCCTGTAGATACAGTCCCCGCCACAATCAAGGTTTGTTCGTAATCGCACTGTTTGGGACACCTTCTGAATTGCCTAAAGTAATACGAAATGCTAGAGTTAATCCTAAAGCTTTCGAAATTCGAAATATGAAGCATTCTGATTTTAAATCTTGGAAACCTGTTGCAAACACTTTATTTCCCAAGACAGTACAGAAGACCACTGACAGATACAAGTTTCAAATAAGCGGACTATTATATAGCGGACACACATACATGCCTGTAGATACAGTCCCCGCCACAATCAAGGTTTGTTCGTAATCGCACTGTTTGGGACACCTTCTGAATTGCCTAAAGTAATACGAAATGCTAGAGTTAATCCTAAAGCTTTCGAAATTCGAAATATGAAGCATTCTAATTTTAAATCTTGGAAAACTGTTGCAAACACTTTATTTCCCAAGACAGTACAGAAGACCACTGACAGATACAAGTTTCAAATAAGCGGACTATTAGAACTGCAGTTTTGGAGAAAGGAAAAAATTCCATGTGAATTTAAAAAGGGTAAGTAATAATTAAACACTTATGTTTATTTTCAATATGTATTAATCTTACACCTTATGTTAGTTGTGATTTTAATTTAGAAAGTTCAATAAAATAGAATATGTGTGAACAAAGAGAAAAGTTAGGTGTCAGTAATTTAATGCAATTAGCTTAAGCATCTCACCATTTATGAGGATAACTGACCTTAAAATAACTGACCATAGAGAAACTAGGAATGCTATAGCAGGCCTTTGGCAATTTCGGCTGCCAAGTTCCATAACCTTATGGACCTATGTCGGAAACATGTCATACCACAGCAGTTTGGGCAGGAATATGAACAGTTAAGTTATCAAAGTGAAATTTTTGATACATTGGCAGAAACTGATGAAGAATATCAATGTGTGACAGATAATTAATACCTACTAAATTTTATTTTTCTTTGTCGATTTCTGTTAACAAAATCTTTCCTGTTAAGCCACTTAAGTTATTTATGGCTATTCATTTATAGATAAGTTGAAAAGCTTCAACCAAAATTTACACAAACAAGGTTTGACAAAATGTCGTATGTTACATAATTTAATAAAAGAACGTTACATTTCGGTTGTTTTTTTCTTAAATTCAGAATGTTTTTTTATGTACCAATTTATAACAGTTTAAAAATTTTAATTGTATTAGCCAAAAGTTGCTAGCAAAAAAAGTCGTCTCCTGAAATATATGCGTTTTGTCGTTTTGTCAAAAACCCATCGATATTTCAGAGCGAAGAAGACAAACAAAAACGAAAATAATCAGATCTGTTCACAGATATAAGGGAGAAAGTGTCATGTTCTGAGGTGGCATTGTGATCAGTAAAAAAACTTTGATCAAACCAAGTTTGACAGCTTGTAAGTATTTTGATTTGGTTCTAGAAACTGTAGTTAGGCTCTGGAGAGGTGCAATGAGAGAAAATTTAATTTTGATGAAATAATAAGAAATACCAGATGATTCCATATAACTTTCTTCTTCTCAGAGTGCCGTCTTCCTACGGAGGTTAGCAATCATAATGGCTATTTTAATTTTTGAACTTGCTGCTCTAAATAAATCAATCCATCTACATTGATACCGATCACGTAGATTCTTCAACCATGAGTTCTGCCTTCGGCCAACAGATCTTCTTCCTTGAATCTTTCCCTGTATTATTAGTCTCAAAATTTCATATTTTGGTCCCCTCATCACGTGGCCTAAGTTTTCTGGTTTATATCATCATCATCATCATCATCCAGCCTCAAGAGTCCACTGCTGAACATAGGCCTCTTCCTCATGTTACCAACCCCGTCTATCTTGCGCCGCTCTTATCCAGTTTTTTTTATAAGAAAAAAATGTCTTAAATCGTCAGTCCATCTTGTAGGTCGTCGACCAACGCTTATCTTGTCTTCCCTTGGCCTCCATTCCAATAACCTCTTTGTCCATCGCCCATCTGTCATTCTGGCTATGTATAGTGGTGATTAGTTATGTTTCTTTAAAACTTTCTCCAGTACTTCTTTATTTGTAATTCTATCAGTCCATGACATTTTTTTTTGGTTGTGTGTATATTCAACTGCAACAGCATTCGCGAAAATGAAGTATGTACTTGGAAATAATAATAATAACAATATCCTTATAAATCTGAATAGAAAAGTGTAACCAGTGTAATTACCAGTAACCAGTAACAACATAAGGCTTAGAAAAAATAGCTGTAACAAAAAAGTCCGCAATTCAACTAAGACTTATGCAAAAAGCAATGAAACAGACAATGCTAGGTATTAGTCTTAGAGACAAAAAACAAATGAAGAAATCCTTCAAACAGCAAAAGTTGCAGAGGTGTTTAAACGTATTCCAGAACTGAAATGACACACTGACGACCAAGACAGACAAAACGTAACGTCAAAACCCCCAAAAGAGATAGCTTGATGATATCAAAAAGTATGCAGGGCATAATAGGTGGTCTCAAATAAGACATCATGGACACCAAAGAGGCCTTTGTTCAAAAGTAAACAGAAATGGCTGAAAAATAAGAATGCTATATGCTATCAATATGCGTTTAATGAGTTTATCTTACCTGTTCTTTAGTCCATTTGTAAACGCAGAAGAAATCATGTATCACTTCCAATTTATTGAGACAGTCATCTTCCAAAGCGTCCCTCAGGATTTTCATTGAATCCGCGTTGGACACTATTAAGTTGTAGGGAATTTCTATGTTAATGCTAATTCTATATGTCATAAAAATAGTTTGAGCCATATCTACGCCGTTGGTAACCTTTTCTGCAAGAGTACATAATACAGCCAAGGTATCTTGAACTGGAGCATCGAGTACATCGTTTTGTTGAATCATCGACGAGTTCACTGGTGAGTGAGATGCTGAAACATAAAATTGTATTTTTAATTTATGTCAGTTTCAGCTTACAAGCGAAGCAGTAACATCTCCAGAAGATGCATAGTATTAACGAAACGTCGAGAACTAATCTCAGAAGACAACGGCTTAACAGCCCGAAAAAAAAAACAGTTTAACAAGTTAGATGATGACTGTGAAAGCCTAACGCATTTTATCAATTTTATTTTTGTCTAATAACGTTTGAGCTTAACCAAGTCGTAAGGTGCTCATAAGTGAACGTAAAATATATGCCGGTAACTACCAAAGGGCTGTAATTTTAAAAAATTAGTACAATTATCCATATTATATATGAGTATGGATGTAACTGTTTCTTACATACCATAGAGCATTACAACTGTTAAAGTTGTCTATGTTTAAATAAAAAAATATTACATTTATAGCTATTGTAGGTAGGCTAGCATTAATACAAAATCTCTTATGAGAGTTTCAGTGTCATTTGAAAATTATGTGCCTTTGTTACAAATACAAATAGTTGTGATTTGTTGTGTGTATATACTAGAGAGAACCTTCATATACTTTTTGGGATTATTATATATTAAATACAAAGCTATTACAAAGAGATATCCAGGAGTGGCTAGGTATACTAGCCACTCCTGGATATCTCCACTTCATGGTTTGTTCCAGTTTCACTTTTAATTTTAATTATATATTAAATATTAAATAAAATATCTGACGCTAGATTATTTTTGAAAATGTAACGACATTTTCTTCTTCATTTCAGTGAGATTCTATAACCCATATAACAAAATTTGTGTAAAGATATATATGGTACTTAACATAAAATTAATTTAAACAACTAAAAAGCATTATAAAATACGAACCTGAGCTTAGTCCAGACAATCTCGCAGATAGGAATGTCCTTCTCTGACTAAATTTTCTGTAATGAGTTCCCTTTGTAATCAACAATCTCTGATCGGTGTTAAGTTGATGGGGTGCAATGCTACCTTCTGCTAAACTATAACAAAGCTTCAGAGTATCTAAATTTGGATTGTCACAACCGAAAATCTTCTCCAACTTAAGAGCTAGCCACAAATTACTACTATCAAGGACATCGTTTATGATATTTCTTAAAATATTTAAGGCGTCAGGTGAAATGTCTCCATCATATTGGGGAATGTGTGATAATAAATCCACCATTTCCTTATATAAAATATTTGGGGCAGATTCTTCGTCAAGGGTACAGTCAAACCCACGCCATTTTTCCTCCAAATTTAAATACATTAACCATTTGTCTCGTTCAAGAGAATGTTTTGATGGCAAATCGTATTTCTTCGACCATTGGTGAGCTAGCTTTAAAAGATGGTATTTTTCTATGCTAAAAAGATTATTATAATTAAAATATTATAGATAAAATATTCTGGTACACTCCACAAATCTAAAAATTGTTAGGGTCGATAACTTTTGGAGCAAACGATCTACTTCGCAAAGCAACAAAATGATATGTTATCGGTTCTGTATCTATTAGTAATCTGTTTTGTAAACAGTTTTTCCCAAATTAGACTATTATAAAGGCAAATTGAAAATAAATTCTCTTCTAAAATCCTAGCAAGATAAAGTTCTATATTCTAGAACTATGCAAAATCACATCACCGTAATATGTCTACCACCATAGACAACAAACAAACTCTATCCATTTAATAAAATGTTTATGGGTTGACTTAAATCCCATTAAAGTGAAGTTTTTCAGGTCTAGCTGAAGTGGAGCAGTATTGGCAGCAGAAATCAATTCTAGTAAATAAATCAAAGCAAATCAGTAAAGTATTTGGAATAACAATTGAGGAATTTATGGTTAATTTGACCTAGGTACAGCCAAATGGAAACTTAGAAAAGTATTGCAATTAACGCGCAGGTTAATGAGGAAATTGTAATAACTGCATTTGCAAATGCTTACTAGAACGACAAAATTAAAATAATCACCAACCCAACAATTAAGGTAGGAGATGAAGAAGTCCTTGAAACAGGCGAAGCATCAGAAAACTTTGACACTTCGATACAAAGTTGCGACATATGAAAAAAAAAAGTAAATAGAAGAAACTACAGGACAGGAAACAATGACTACAATGAAGCGTGATTCTGCATATGATCGAAAAAAAAGGAGACCGATGAAGAACAAGGACACGAGGAAGTACTCAGAAATCAACAGACCTATCAAGAAAGAATTGAGAAGAGCCAAGGAGATATGGATGCAAGAAAAATGTAAATTAATCGAGGAGCTCCAAATCAAACACATATATAAACAACATAAACATCAATCAAAAGATTCGAAAAGCCACTGGTCAATACAAGAGATGTCCTTCTCATGGACAAAGACATTAGTCTGGCGACGAAATTTAAGAAGAAAATGGCCAGCTGGGAAGTGTTCATCGAAGAACTCCGGGACTACAGAGGCAACCCTAGAGAAATTACTTGCATCCAGGGCCGGCAATACTATGAAGCAAATCAAAAGCGGCTTTAGAACTGTCTAAGACAGCTACAACAGTCATGTGGCTAACGCCATATGTCCGATCGATATACCAGCCGAACTTTTTATTCCAGAACGTTACCCACATTTATCACGACAAATTGGTAATTTACCATACACACTGTTGGACAGAATCTGTGGAACTGACTACTATCTGTTACGAGCTAAAATGTATATTTCAAGATAGACAAATACCACAAAAAAATCGAAGCAACCTGTGTGAAGACATTTTCGTAAATTACCCGAAATACAACCTGGAAAGTCTTCTAAATAAAAGCACCAAGTACCAAAAACCCCTAGATGAATACTTGAACTGGTCTGAAAACATGTTCTTTGGGTGAGTTATAATAACATAACATAAAGTATTCATAAAGCAGCGTAGTAAACATTAGGCATTCCACAACGGCAATGACAAGTTATGGTAGTCATATGAAGTCGAAGAACTAATAAACAGAAAGAAATAAAATAAATCACATGAAAAAGAGATATGGGATAAACAATTTCGGGAAATGGACGGATAAATTGACGGAATAAGGTGCACAGATGCATGGCAATTTATTTAGATCAACGGGTGCTGAAAAAATTTCAAAATATATCAGAAGAACAGTGGTTACAACAATAAAAGAAATCCTATTCATTGAAAAAAGACCACAAGGACGAAACATCGATTAACATGGAAAGAGAACAGAGGAAAATAGACGACGAATTGGTAAATCAGCTATTAGCAACTAAAAAATGAAAAATCATGCGGACTAGAAGAAGTGTATCCAGAATTATAAAAAAAACGCTACGAAGAAACTGATGGCATCTTTAACATAAATCTTTAACAAATTTGTGAATAATTAGGAAGTTCCTAACCGATGGAAAGTGGCATGTCATATCGTCCATCTACAAAAAAAATGCAACAAAGAAGACTGTAAGAGTTATAGGGGTATATCAGTCACCAAGCACGGTTAGTAGTTTCTATGGAAGGATAGATTTTATTTTAAAAAAAATTGGCGCCAAAATCTTGATCAACTTTCTATTTACTAAATATTCTGTCATAATCTAAATTCCAATTTTAATTTTCACTTAATATTTTAATGCTCTATATTCAGAACCCGTTGTGTTCTATACCGTAGAACAGTATAAAATATCTATGCCCCACTTAAGTCGACAAAGTATATCTGTCAGTTGGCAACTCTGTCGTGTCATGTCAGTTTTATTCAATGTAAAAGTGGAATATTTTTTATAATGTCTTTCGTCTACTAAAGCTGGATTTTTTATCCCAAATTCATTTGTATATTTAAATCTTTTCATGGGGTGAGTATATTTCATATTTCTAGTTGGTATTTTTTTATGTCTTTTTATAATATCCTCATTTGATATTATTTTATACATAACCTATCTTAAAGCCTTGCTTTATTAACAACTTTTAAATATGTGCATAGATATGGGATCTTTCTTTAGCTCATTTTAACTAATTTATTTGAATAATAATATTACATTCATATTATTATCCTTGCTATCAGTTGTGTTCTTTCAAAAAATTGTTTTTTTTTCTGTGGAAAAGAAATTTAAAACGTATGCAGTCCCTAACTCAAGGTTTATTATTTCAGTTTTTTGACCTATATAATTTTTTTGTTCCTCTTGTTGGGTGGAAGCCATCTTGTTCTGAAGCCACCACATATAAGGATGATAACTACAGCAGCGGAGCAGATATGCAGAACTTAAGAGCTGTTTAGAACTAAAACGACTCGATCCCAACTTGAAAGATACTCATTCAGCTACAATCCATCCAGCTAACATCAGAAGCCATCAGCAAGTTATCATGGTAACCACATGAGGCCATAAGTATCAATTTAAACTTTTCGTAAAGTTATAGGTAAGATTAGCTTTTATGTACAATAAATATGATTATTTAATATCTTAATTTATTTTTCCCAAACTCATTTTTCAGATTTACTTTTAACATAGACGCTCTTTCACTTGAGAGACTGAGCTAACGAGGCCTAACAATTGGCTCCCAAAGAAAGTTGTGAATTTTATTGTTATACATCGTTATTATATCGTTACCTATTGCCTTGGCATCCACCGTTTCCGATGAGTCGTTTGATGGTTACAAGCAATGCGGATTTAGAGCCGGAAAATCATGCACTGTCAACAAATATATTCGATAATAAGCAGATAAGCTATTCGATAATAGCTTACTTGACAAAGTACAACATGAACCACTAAGAGAAGTTCTAATAAAGAAAAATATAGACAGCCGAGATATTCGAATGATATGCAATCTATATTGGAATCAAACAGTAAATGTCAAGGTTGAGGGCAGACTAACAGAAGAAATTCAAATCCGTCGAGGAGTCCGGCAGGGATGTATCTTATCGCCACTTTTATTTAATCTGTATAGTGAAGCTATCTGTGAACAAGCACTCGAGGAAGAAGATCTTGGTCTAATAATAAATGGTGAGACGATCAACAATATAAGGTATGCTGACGATACAGTTCTCCTAACGGGAACGCTAGTAGAACTACAACATCTCGTTCAAAGTCTCAATATATACTGTAACAGTTACGGCTTGAAAATTAATTTGAAAAAAACTAAATTTATGGTAATCACGAAATCAAAGAACATCAGAGCTAATCTTGTAATAGACAATACAACGATTGAGAGTGTGCCCTGTTATAAATATCTAGGTGCTTGGATCACAGACGATACTGATCAAACAAAAGAGATTAGATGTAGAATAGAAATCGCTAGATCAGTCTTTAATAAAATGCGCAAACTCTTTTGCAATCGTGATATCAATATAAAGTTACGAATACGAATGCTGCGGTGTTATGTCTTTTCTACCCTGTTATATGGAGTTGAGGCTTGGACACTAAAACAGTTGACCATAAAAAACATCGAAGCTTTCGAGATGTGGTACTATAGGCGCATTCTCAGAATATCATGGATGGACCGCGTCACTAACACGCAAGTACTCCAAACTTTAGACAAAAGATGCGAAATTCTAAATGAGATAAAAACTAGAAAGATGGAATACTTGGGGCACATTGTGAGAGGTGAAAAGTACGAACTTTTAAGAAACATCATGCAGGGCAAAATTAAGGGCAAAAGAAGTGTGGGAAGAAGAAAAATATCGTGGCTTCGTAATCTACGTGAATGGTTCGGGTGTAGTTCGATTGAACTCTTTAGGCGCGCTGCTAACAAAGTCGCAGTGGCCATGATGATTTCCAATCTCCTCTAGGAGTGGCATTAGAAGAAGAAGAAATAGCTCACTATTAGAAAAAATAATTTAAACGTGAATCCTAACAAATGCGAATTTTTTAAGAAGAAATTATTGTATTTAGGATATAAAATATCGGAAAATAGAGAATCTATCTGAATATATGAAGCGAGCAGAGAAAAACATTACTAATAAATTAGTAATGGATGTCCCAAAATTCACACAAGATTTGAATTTGGCTTAATTTGTCAATAGTAAAGTATTGGTTTAAAAAACAGTTTGACAGCTGACAGTTTAGGATTAGAAATAATAGAGCGTTACACGAGGAAACAATGCGGTTTCTGTGTTAAACAATACTCCAAATAATGAATGTTTGCAGGCCACAGTTCGAAAATTTCGTACAAACTATGGTAGGAATATTTATTTACCTTTTTCAACTGTAACGAGAGTAATTGAAAAATTCAGGTAGATTGGATCAATTACTGGTGCTAAACACAGTGGTCGTCCAAAAACAAATCGCTCAAATGCCAATATCGAAGCAGTGCATGAACGTGTTAGTTAAAGTCCAGAAACACCAATTCGGAATCGTTGAAAAATTTGAAGAAGCTCTCTACAGCGTATATTCACTGAAGATCTGCATCTCCATGCTTACAATGTCCAATTGATACAAAAATTAAAGCCTAATGACCATGCACAGAGAAGAGAGTTCGTTGAATGATTATTGAACGATGAAGCACATTTTCACCTTAATGGCTTTGTTAATCTTCGAAATTGCCGTATTTGGTAAAAAAATACATTCACAACCTGTCACTGTTTGGTTCAGATTTTGGGCAGGTGGCATCATTGGAGCAAAACTTCTTTGAAAATGAGGCTGATCAAACAGTGATTGTTACTAGTGCTCAATATCGCAACATGATAACAGAGTTACACGAGACATTTACTGGTCGTTTCGGTGAATATAATTGGCCTCCTAGATCGTATGATTTAACACCATTGGATTTTTTATGCAGTTGTTTTAAGTCAAAGGTCTGGCCGACAAGACTACAACCACTCGCACATTGAAGGAGAAAATTCAACGCTGTATCAATGAACTTCAGCCACAGTTATATAAAATAGTCATGGAAAGTTTCGACAAAAGAGTGCGTATGCCAGCAAAGCCAAGGAAGTCATCTTCCTAATATGCTATTCCATACATAACCCCCTATCCTATGTACTTTATGATCATAAAATTACAATCTAAAAAAAAAACTGTATATTCAATTTAAATCTTACGTAAATTTTGGAACACCCTTTATAATCACTTATTAATACTTACTTGGTTTCAACTTTCTCTATATACTTTAAAAAGTATTCAACAACGCAATCTGCTGACACACTATGTAATTCAAATTCTTGATTACATTGCAACCAAAATTGTACTTCGTTGCCGTCGCGATTTTCAAATTTATACTCCCACTGCTTAACTAACACAATATCAACAGGCATATCTTGGATTTTAGCTATTTTTAAAGCAGCTTCAAATAAATGATTGTTTAAGAGAGCTTTCAAGCAGTCATCTACAGCCGTAAGCTCGTCTTTTTCGTGTAAAAATGCTTCAATGTCGAATCTAATATCACTGTTAGAACCATGTATGATTTTAAGAATCTCAAGTAGATTACTTAGATCTGGACAACGAATAAACTCCTTTAAATTCATTTGTGATAATCGTTCGACGAGAAGAATTTGTTCATAAAATGAATTCATATTGTACTGTAGTGCCGAGGACAGTAGATCAAGTGCTGTACTTTCTAGCCAGATTTTATTGGTTAAATATGTCATCTCATGGTCATTATCGGTGATAATACTGAATCTTCTGGACTGGCCTACGCACGATTTAAAAGTTTCTAATTTTGATGTGAGAAATGTAGTATCTCTAGTACCAGTTAAGCACAAATTTAGAAATTCTAAAAAATATCTTAGTGCGTTACCCTACAAGAAAATGAAATAATTAGAATAAAATTATATAAAATAATATACAATAACTAAAATAATGCTTCAGATAACAGAAAATAACAAGCCTCAAACAACAAGGGAAGCGTTTTATGACCAATGAAAGATGATAATATTGGGGATTTTAACGCTCGAATAGGCAATCAAGTAATACTAACGCTCGAATAGGCAATCAAGTAATACCCGTCATTAAACAAAAACATAACGAGAATGTTAAGAACGAAAATGGACAACTGATGATCAACTTCTGCACAAATAAAGAACTAAGAATAAACAACACATTTTTGACCACAACGACCAACACAAATATACATTTAATAACACCCGTGGACAAAGATCTATGATAAATTTTGTTATAATCAACAGAGATATACATCCATCAAAAATAATCGACGTATGATGCCTCAACTCAGCATATGTAGGTAGCGACCACAGCCTAGTATTATCTAAAATAAGAATAATCCTGAAATACTTCACACCTAAAATAGCGGCGCCAACACAAACAAAAATCAAAGTCGAAACACTAAATACGGAATCTACGGAATATTATTGAAATATGAAATATTAGATAACGATATTATATTTCTATTATATGAAATATTAGATAACGATAACATCGAGGAAAGCTGGGAAAAACTCAAAAATAACATAATTAACGCAGCAACCTAATCACTTCTTCTTAGAGTGCCGTCTCCCTACGGAGGTTGGAAATCATAATGGCTATTTTTATTTTAGAACTTGCTGCTCTAAACAAATCAATCGATCTGCATTGGTACCAATCACGTAGATTCTTTAACCATGAGTTCTGCCTTCGGCCAACAGATCTTCTTCCTTGAATCTTTCCCTGTATTATCAAATCAGATTATCAAAACCTAATCACTTGGAGAGAGGAAAGTAACGAACACTAACATATCAAAAAGAAAACACCATGGTTTAGAGAGAAAGTGAAGACGAAATGTGAAGAAAAGAAGAAATCCTTTTTACAATACAGATACAAACACAACAGGCATACAACCACTATCAAAGAATCAGAAATGAAACGAATACTTCAGTTAGACAAATAAAAAATGAACACTGGCAGAGTTTTCTCAAAACAGATGGAACACGACTTCTACGGAACACAAAAATAAATATGGAGAATGATCAGAGGACAAAGAAAAGAGATGAACGAACTAATAAAAACGAAACATATTCAGAAGGAAACATGGGTAGACTACTTTCGATCCCTATTTGCTAAAGGTGACTATATTGAATCACCAATACCAGAGATGACGACAAACAAAGAAATAAATATTGAGGAGGAAAAGGTAAAGGAAGCATTAAGGAAATAAAAAATAGAAAATCACCAGGAGAGGACAGAATACCGAACGAATTCTTAAAGTAAGGAGGACCAGATCTTACCAAACAACTATTAAAACTAATCCAAAAAATAGAACAAAACAAAATTCCTCAAGAATGGAGATCAAGCATCCTAATCTCTCTAATATTCTCTATCTAATACCTATCTTCAAAATGGGAGACAAATCGAACACGGAAAATTACAGAGAAATTAATTTATTAAACACAACACTAAAATTAACAACCAAAGTGAAAAATAAATTGAATGAAATTATAATACTAGCAGAAGAACAACAAGGTTTTAGGTCGGGAAGATCATCCACCGACGCTATATTTATAATGAGCCAAGAGCAAGAGAAATTATTAGAATACAACAAACTGGAATATCTATGTTTCGTGAACCTTACAAAGACATTTGACCGGGTCAAATCAAAAGACGTTATCCACTTTCTATACGCAAGAGAGATACCTCTAGGAATAATCAAAACGATCGAAAATATCTACCAAAACAACACAATAAAAGTAAAAGTAGAAGAAGAACTAACCGACCCTATTGAAACTGGCAATGAGGTAAGACAGAGAGATTCATTGAGTCCTCTATTGTTCACCTGATTATGGATGAAATATTAAAAAAAGTAAAAGGATACCAAGATAACTAAAAAGGATACCAAATGGGAGAAAACCAACTTAAAATAATCTGATTGATTGATAATATATTAAAAATAACAAGAGCCAAAATAAAAAACACTTAAATAGTGGTGTGTACAAACTTCAATGTGGCGACTGCCCAAAAACTTACATTGGTCAAACTGGTAGAAACTTTGATAAACGAATAGCACAACATAAAAGGCTTTCAAGAATAGAAAAACAGATTCGACATACGCACTTCACCTTCTAGATCATAATCATTCTTTTAATGACAAATTTAAAATTCTTCACATTCAAAATAAAGGCCTTAAGCTATCTTTGTTAGAATCTATGGAAATCAACAAATTAAAAAACACAGATATAATTCTGAATGACCAACTTGAGACAAACAGTTCTCCCCTCCTCAACCTATTTCATTAGAGACTATAAATTTGTAAACCCAAGCCAAAAATAGATCACTTGAGAAAGGCAATCAGCCGAAACAGCTGTAGTGATAAGATTTAAAATAAATTTTGTGGAAGTTTGAAAAGAAAGTTTTCAGTGTTTTATTGTTACATTTATTGTTAGTTAAAATAATCTGCTATGCAGACGACGCAATAATACTCTCCGAAGTGAAGATGATTTAAACGTATGCTGCACCAATTTAATATAACCGCAGAAAATTTAACATCTTAATTTCTCCAACAAAGACACAATGCATGGTTACAACAGCAAATTTATTACGATGTAAATTGGAGCTGGAAGGTCAGATGATGGAGTTTAAAAATCTAGGCATCACATTATCTAGCTACGGAAACCTCGAAACCGAAGTGGAAGAGATCAAGTGAATAGAGCAAACAGAGACCAGGCTGCCTAAATGAAACAATATGGAGAAATAAAAATATCGGGAAAGAAACAAAAGCAGAATTTACAAACAGTCATCAGACCAATAATGACATACGCGGCAGAAACAAGACCTGATACAGAGAGGACAAAAAGGATGTTAGAAACAACATAGATGAAAACATCTTAGATGCATGGAAGGGTGAATGTTATAAATTATTCTATCTTATGTAACATTTTTCACTGAATGCGAATGGTCCCCCACATGGACGTATAAACACAGATGGACTCAGTTATTTACATAAAATTGTGAAGTCAAAATTCTTTGAATAGGTCACATTCTCAGCACCTTCAGCTGTTGTCACCTTTGTTTTAAAATTTCTTATTCGCGAGTCGCTGAAAATATTACTCCGTATTTTATACTCTACAGGTGCTATCAACCCAAAATAATAATTTATTGGTTAGATTATATATTTAATTGTAATCAAAAATATAAAGTGTGCACATTATCATTTAATAATATACGTATAATTTAGATATCATAAATTATTTTATATGTAGAAGCACTGGAAAACTATTTATAAATGGCAACGGTTGTTTACATTTCTCCGTTTATGGATCTACGTCAAACTTCAAATGCTGTTCCATGTTTGCTTATTTTTTAGTAAAATGTTGTTTTTCGACATTTTGGCTATATGTTGATGTGTATTTGTGTAAAGTGAAATAAAATAAACGAAATATTTTACATCCCGATCTCTCATTATCATTTGTAAGTACATAAAATTTACATTATTTAAGATGAGGAAATGAGGAAGCGTGTTTGTTTACATTTTAATAGCGTACCATTGGGTTTTATTCTCATTAATGTATTAAATAAGATATTATAGTTCATGAAATTAGTAGACATTTTTAAATTGTAAGTAAACATCATCTAATTAAAAAGATCTATTTGTACCTTTTTAATTTAATATTTCTCATGGATGCAAATAAATAGTGAATTGAATAAAACTCATTTATTTTTCTATGTAGGTTTCCAAATAATATTGACGATCGAACTATTTTGGTAGCAAATTTAGGAGAAAACATCAAGATTTTTTATTGTAGCATTATTTGTACCTATTAAAAATTAACTTGAATTCAACTATATTTTATTGTATTAATTTTAAAGCAAATAAAATTGTATTTTAATTTTTCTATAAAGACGTGATTTGTTTAATAGTTAAATTCTCGTTTTTTTAATTCTTTGAACGTGTTTTTATACATTATTACTACTTCCAATTTTTAAAATCTGAATAATTACCCGCGAGTAATAATTCAAGCACGCTTATGCTCATTGCGAAGCATCACATTCTATCGAAGCTTCAAAACATTGTGTGTTAAAGGTATCTTATAGCTGTCCTTCTATGTTTATACGTCCATGGTCCCCCATTACCAAAAAGTAGTACCAATTTTTATTAACAATTTTTTTTATAAAAAAAAAATTAGTGCGTCGTAAAGTACATTAAAAATAGATTAAAAATGCTATATATGTTATATATATCTATATATATATATATATATATATATATATATATATATTATATATATAACAATATTATAGTTTAAAAGTTATTCAAATTTTGAAGTCGAGAAATCGAAGACTTCGTCTAACTTTTAGTCCTCATAATTTTTACATGGTAGATTTTTCTCTAAAAGCTGCACATAAATAGAAAGTTTGAACCTATTTCGGCAATTTACTATTGAAAAAATTTTTTTTTTTTTTAAACTTTGTGTTTTCAATGAGTTAACAAGCATAAACAAATAGCTTTTCGTCCTTCCAGAATCACAAGCATACAGCGGGCGAGTACGTGTTATTTACGTCCACGTGTATTATACGTGCTAAATAGTAGCTGTTTTAAAACTTCAATATATCGATGCAGGCGAATGCTTCGAGAATTTACTTGTAGAGTCGGAGTCATTCAACGTTTTCGAGAAAACAACCGACTATACGAGTCAGCGTGGACAAGGAAGAGGGAGACTCAAACAACTAGTCAAGATCAGTTTTATCGACTTCGTGCTATAAGAGAACGTTTACACAATACAAGTGGCAGATGTTCATAATATTCACATTTAGTAGAAACACTATAGAAAGGCGTCTCGCTTAACAAGATCTGCATATAAGGATACGTCAGAGCAGCAGCTTAAAAGTAAATCATCGTAGAAGTAGATTACAATTTGCCAGAGAGCGCCAAGTGCAACATGTGACGTATTACTTTATTCTATGGAGGATCTGTAGTCATTTGGGGAGGAATATCTCGTACAGCGCGAACGACCTTGTTGATTTGCAAAGAAGTTCCTTAACAAGTGAAAGGTATATTACAGGACATTTGTGTAACCCTGTAGTTCCATTTGCTCCTTACATAGAAAATAATTTTCTTTTAATGCATGATAACGTCGACCACATGTTGCACGTGCGGTCCGTGATTATTTCGACGAGTGTGGAATACAACCATACTAGCACCCGCACAATCCTGATTTAAATCTCATAGGAATTTGTCGCATATTATCGATCGCCAACTCAGGAGTCGACAATTTACTACCGTCTTTCTTGATGACATTGAAGATATGGTGAGAGAAGTTTGGGATACGATTTAATCAGGACGAAGCATGCCTCGTCGCTGTGAAGAAATAATTAGATGTAGAATTAGATGTGGAAATGCTCGTTATTAAGTGTTTTTGGGATGGGAATTGTTAAAGATTATTTAGGTAATGTTTTCTTAGGCTTTAGCTGTATTAAATGTCATAAAGTTTATGTAGGTAGTGTTTTCTTTGCTCTAAATGTTGACAAAAACTTGTTACATTTATTAAAGTTCTGTATAATCTTTGATGATACAGATAATTTTTTTACGAAGATCTTGAGAAAGGATGAAACTATCTTAAAACATTAACGGTCCATTTTACTCTGTCTGCAGCAGTTCTCAAGGGTTCTATTGTTGGTTTCACTCACTGGTTAAAATTTTCAAAGACTTGGGTTCTCTCCGGTCCTTTTTTCCTTTACGTCTTTTTTTTTTGTCAGTTTTAGGTATGTGACTAAAGTAGTCTCTTTGTCTCTCCTTTTAGTGTTAGTATTTTTTTTTTCTTTTTTTTCTCTTCTGGATCTATCCGTTTCGGATGTTGGAAATATATTGCAATATAACCTTGCTCGTGCGGCTCGAAACAGCTCCGTTGAGATTTTTTAAACCATGTTCTTAAACTTCGCAGCCATGATATTCTCCTTTAGGGTCTCGCTACCTATTGACTTTACCTTGCAATATAGACTGTAGCAGGGAGTAACGGTGCTGATTTCTCATAACGTGTCCAGATATGCAATTTATGCGTTTGATCGTAAAACACCCAATTCTTGTTACTTCTTCATTTTTCTAGAACTTTCTTGTTCGTGATCTTTGTCAGATATTCTCAGCATTCTTTAATAAAGCACATCTCAACTGCTTCAAGTTTTTTAATAGTGGCGTTCTGTAAGCGTCATGCCTCGCCGTACTACAAACAGAGAAAACATGCAATCTCAATGTTCATTTTTGTATCAAGGGATATGTTGTGATTTGAAAATGGCGTATTTTGTTAAAGACGTTTCTTGTTTCTATGCGGACTTTATTTCCTGTAAATTGCTCCACTGTTCGTTAAATATAGTTCCAGGTACAATACTGTTTTACTCGCTCTATTGCTCCCATTAATATATAGATGTGCACGTTTATATTCTCTTGCTGATAATCATGTTGTTTCGTTTGTGGGTATAATGTTTAGTCGTATACTGTTGGATGTAACTCGTTTATTCGTCCATTAGCTTCTGAAGTCCTTCTAAACTATCTGCTATCACCATGGTTGCGTCGGATATCTAACATTGTTTTATTCTTTCATTTAGCAAGGATGCTTCGTCTATTCCGTAAAGAACCTCGTTAAAAATTTTCTCTGAGTACATATTAAATATCAACGGCGATAGGATACATCCTGTCTAATCCACGTAGTATTTTTATATGTGATCTGTTTTTCTCCGTAATTCTTCATGTATGCGGTCTGATTCCAGTAGAGTTTCTTTTTTACCTTTCTTAAATCTTTCGTGTTTGTTACATATTGTGTCCATGATATTTTCCACCTTTTTCAATAATACCACATGTCATCTTCTTCTTATAGTGCCGTGCACATATAGTGCGTTGGCGACTTATCTTAAGGCCCGACGTATATCTTCTGCGGCATGCAAAAGATCGCATGTGTTATTTTATGCCTGTCGATTTTTTATTGTTTGTAGCCTACGACATTTGTTTGGGCTATCCTCTCTTGCTTCAATCTTTCAGGATGAATGTTGAGGGATTGCGTATTTTTTTCTCTCAATATGGCCGAGGTATCCAATTTTTCTTACTTTGATCAAATTGAGTAGTTCTCTCTCAATATTTGCTTTTCATACCACATGTCAAGGTTTTGGTAAATTTCTATAATCTGTAAGTCCATTTTAGAATCGAAGTTTTGGTTTTGTGATATGTTTATGTATGATACTGGCATTCAATGTATAGTATAGAAATTTGAATTATCTTACTGTCACTTACCGGTATAAAAATTTCAAAACTTTGCAGCAAAGTCTTCGGAACATCGATGCTTCATACAATTGTTAAGCAAATTTGCCACTGAGTGGGAGTTTAAAGCAACTGACTCAAAATTGGTGAACATCTCGTAGATACTGCAAGATACTGCCAACCATGTTAACCAACAATTGATGATGGAATCAGGCTAAAATAAAATATTGTTTAAAAAAGAACATAGCAGCATAAGTAACCTAAAGCTAAGATTAGTACTATTACAAGAATTAATATTAAACTCAACAGGCTTCCGGATTGAACTACGTCGATTATTACTGCATCGCTAAAGTTCTTAAAAACCCAAGCCTCCTATTACGCATTAGCCACCGAGAAAAAAACCTGAAAGAATTTCAGTCCAATCCAAACATAGTCATTCTCCGCCGATAAAGGAAATGCCACCGTCATCTAAATACTTCTATACAATAAGAGTTATCAAATAAGAGGTGTGAGAGTGAGTTTTGAAGTAAGTTTTCGAGCAAGTTTTGAGCTCTTTTTCATATGTGGTTGAGGATTTTATTATTTTTTAAGTGTCACCCTCTGGAGTGGCTATCTTGGTACGGGTAAATGAGCACATGTCTGTTTGTATTCGCATTGTAGCATGTCTTTACTGGTTCTTATAACGTATATAATGTCACTTCAATATATTTCTATATATTCCATTTCTTTTGATTTTTATTCATTTGTTCACCTCTGCTTTGTTTTACTATTTTTCTTCTAAAAATAGTGGCGCTCAACTCTTCCATAGTCATATGTCTAAATGTTGGGTTGTTAGAGTGATATTTACATATGTCGTTGGTTTTCTGATAGACTTTCGTTTACAGATCTGCACTCTTCTTTCGTGATTAATCACTAATTCGAAATGGCGGTGAAGTTTTTGTTTTTCTTTTTTACATAGTGGAAGTTTATTATTCTTCATTGACATCAGTAATCAAATCAAAATTTTGTTCAGGTACTCTGCCATATGAGGCTATCTACTGAGCGCAACATATCATCTAGGATACTTCGCACTCACACTGTGGTGTTTTTTGGAACGTGTTTATTACACTTAAGTCATCGGGTTTAAATTGGTTGCCACTAGCAAATTAATAAATATTTCCGATTAAATGAAAAATATTACATTTTCCCCTATTGGAACAGATATGGGCCGAAATTGGAACACACAGCATGTACACACCCGTGCAATTACCATGACCAAT